CACTTTCCTGACATTATTACAAACGTCGGATGATGAATAATCAAAATATTGGCTTGTTTGATGCTTCCATGGTTACTGACGCTGAACTAAACTGTGTATTAGAATTTTCCAAATTGCAAATGTTTTGAGAAAGCTCCAAGAGCTGGGGTCATGCACTCTGGAGTCCATAGGCAAAGCAACTTCCCCCTTTAAATGCTGATATTGCTTGACCAGATTCATGATAGAGTGCTTAGATTAAGCGAATTCCTCGATTATTTGTAGCAGGTAATGCATGGGCAAAACTTTATAACACAACTTACCTCTTTTTTCGAGATGAGGATTCGATTCCTCCTCGTAGAGGGCTGCCACGCCGTCTAACTCTGAACCATACGTCCTTAGGTATGGTTCACTGGGGGTGTTTGAACCCCCATCTATGTACTTCGAATGTCCGCTGTTCCAGCAGACATTCAAAGTAACAGTCCCGGCCCCCGCCCGAGGAGCAGCAGACATGATTCTAATTGTCTTCGGTTCGTATGCTGTGTATGTCCCCGCTCCTTCCCGTGCCGTAGGATACACATCATCTGCAACAATAGAGAATTCGGCAAGAGATTAGCATAATAAAAAGGCAACTCGTGGTGAGCACTATGACATGTGAAATTGCGAAATGATTAGTGCTTTCTAAATTTTCATATGTTCAGGCAGGGAATGCTAGGTTATGTTGCAACTTCCTATGTTGTCGGTAAGGCAATAAAGGGGCGCCTACCAGATTATCATTGCTGGCAAAAACAAGGGAGACTAAAATGGCCATTTCTGACTCGTCAGCCAGTCCTAATCAACCTCTGGTGATGCCCGAGGCTAGAATCCACGACCTACTGAGCAGAAGTCCAGTGATCTAACCATTCAGCCAAAATTTCGTTCTCTGACCATTCTAGATTGAGAATACTGAGGTTATTTGATGAAATCCCGCTGAGTGCTAACGTATCTCACTCATCACTTCATGTCTTCTGATACTCTTTGGAGCCCCACCAACAGCCCCTCAGTGACTATTAGCGGAGTGAGTAGTACAGTGAGCTCCAAAGCAAAAGGGGGAAACTGAGTTCCAATAACGATAGGTGAGCGCCCATCAACGACTGTACGCCTAAGTGTAAAAATTATATCTAGTGGAAACTTTTTTCTTTTATGTTGAATGCAGTCTCCCAGATAGGAGTTAATCACAGCGACTGAGAGGCCCTCACACACTCACTTGTGGACCGCAATGGCCGTTCGTGGACAGAGGAACAGTGAATCATTTCCATTACTCCATATTGCCCCGATCTATTCTAGTGCATCTACACCTTACCACTTATGTTAGGCACAATAAGCCCACTAATCAATCGAACAGCCTAAGAAGTACGTGTGCATTAAAATCATACAAACGGAGATGGAGACTTCGTTCGTTTCTAAAAGTGCAATATGTTTTGTCATGACAACCGGGAACGGTGTTTATATTGCTCCCGACTCCTAAAAAGAAGCACCATTTTTGCTCTTTCATGACTTGATAGTTGTCTTGCCAGCATTTACACAGTCAGACGAGCGTTTAAATAGTTAATTTTTCACGTCCAAAATACGTTTGGGCCCTGGCGTGGTCGTTCTTTATTGACTCCGACTTCCAGCTTTTGCCTTACTGGAGGTTAATAAATTTCACTCCTTTACTATTAAGGATCAAATGAATGCAGTTGGACACATATATTACCTTCAGTGATGGTTTCTGTCTCATAATCGTCGTACGGGGAGCCATATGAACAGCCGACATCACAAGCCGGCAGTGCGAGTGAGATGCTCGAAGTCCCTAGGCTCTCGACACTGCTGCTACGAAGAATCCTGGAACAGCTAAGGCTTTCTAGAGAGTTCCACTGTGGGCATCTGGAAGGAGCCTGGGTTCGAAAGACTATAATATCATCAACTTACCGGATGAATAACTTGAATTGAGAGGGTTGAGATAATGTAAACGTTGCTTGAATTGTTGTGAATGCTGGGTATGCTACTATATCTAAAGGACAAAGGTGTTCTTTAAATTAGACACATA